CGAAAGGATATGGCCTAGCTGGGGTGGCTCAGGCCTGTAATCCTAGTTTACCCAGGATGATGAGATCTGAGGATCATGGTCCGAAGCCAGCCCAGACAGTAAAGGCTGTGAGACTCTTATTTCCAATTAACCACCAGAAAACCGGAAGTGGTAGAGCACTAGACTTGAGCTGAAGAGCTCAGGGAAAGCGCCCAGACCCGGAGTTCAAGCCCCATGACCGAGGGTCAGGGGAAGATGTGGCATGATCAACAAGATTAACTAAGGTTCAAGGAACTTCTAACAGGATGTCTTTTAAAAGTACAGCAGGCAAAGGATGTACCTAAAATATAATTAACAAGGGCCAAGCCACCTGGCCAAAGCAGGAACTTTTCAGAAAAAACAATTCTCATCAGATTAACAGAAAAGAAACAAACTACTTTGATAGAAAAAAGGCTTTTCTCACAATGCTTACCCAACAGGGAGAGAAAACAGAACACTAGAAATTTCAGAAGGGGAGATGAAAGCTAGAAGCAGGTGATGGGTTTACGTTTGCAGAAGAGCGTATTTAAAGAGAGGTTGCTAGTATCCCCTTGGGCTTGACCTCACTGTGTGTGCCAGGCACACACCCAGCCTGAGAAGTGAGGTAAAGGAAAATACCTTCACCCCTGTCATAAGCTGGGTTTCAACTCCTGTTTGTTCTCCATGAGAGAAGACTGCCTGTTAGTGTTGTGGCTCATTTCCATTTGCTTGGTGAGGAACTAGATGGATGATGTCAAACGTGTGGCTCACTTGGACTCACTTCAGGCCTAGAAAATAAAGAAAGGCAGGGACATGTGCCCCTTGCCTGCAACTTTATTTCATTCTCTTAATGGCTGAGAAAACATTATCTCTTTTTGCAGACGTCTACGTTGACTTTCAAGTTTTCTTCACCTGGCAGTTTCTGGAAGGAGGATTGCAATCAAGAACTTCTGGCTCTAAAAATTATAAAAGTTTTGTTCTGTTTACTGTTTCAGCACCATGCAGGAAATAGATTGAGTACTGAAAAATCTTGACTACTGCTTTTTGTGTTCTAAGAATCAAAGGGAAATTCCTCCTACCCCCCCCCCTCAAAAAAATAACCCTCTCAGAGAACTTCAACTTTTAGTCAAGTTTTTAATCTTTTGCAGGATCAGGACTTCTTTACAAATCTAAAGAATCTGGGGGCTGAGAAGGTAGCTCAGTGGTAGAGCGCTTGTCTTGCATGCATGAGGCCCTGGGTTTGATTCCTCAGCACCACATAAACAAAAAGAAAAAAGCCAAAAGTGGCTCTGTGGCTCAAGTGGTAGAGCACTAGCCTTGAGCTGAAGAGCTGAGGGACAGCACCCAGGCCCAGAATTCAGGCCCCACGACCGGACTCCCCCCCCAAAAAAATAAAAAGAATCTGGGGGCTGAGAAGGTGGCTCAGTGGTAGAGTGCTTGCCTTGCATGCATGAGGCCCTGGGTTCGATTCCTCAGCACCACATAAGTAGAAAAAGCCAGAAGTGGCACTGTGGCTGAAGTGGTAGAGTGCTAGCCTTGAACTGAAGAGCTGGGGGACAGCGCTTAGGCCCAGAGTTCAAAAAAAAGAATCTGAAGCTGGGCACTCATACCTGTAATCCTAGCTACTCAGGAAGCTGTGATCTGAAGATCAAGGTTCAAAGCCAGCCCAGATAGGAAAGTCAATGAGACTCTTATCTCCAATGAGATACCAAAGAAGACCAGAAGTGGAGCTGTGGTTTGAGTAGTAGAGTGCAAAAAGCTCAGGGACAGTGCCCAGGCCCTGAGTTCAGTCCTCAGGACTTGTGTGTACATGTGTGCTCACACACACACACACACACACACACACACAATTTGAAGTCTCTTACCATAGAATACAGGAATAATGGCTATTATGTGTCCTTTGCAAGGAACCAAAGATAAACCCTCATAAATACATGTATACCTATATTCCAACATCTCTTTAGACAGGTTCTCAGAACTTGGGGAGGGAGAAATTAATTTCTTAATTCCAGAAGGTTGAGATAGTTTTATAGAAATCCTATTAGCTGTAAACTGAACGTTTTCATTCTTTGCTGGTTGTATTTTCTCTAAATTATTATTTTATTTATTTATTTATTTTTAATTATTATTTTAAAACCATGTATTCCTTGGCACAGTCTTTAATTGATAGTTAACACTTTTCACCAGATGGTTAAATAATTACAAAGGTTGTAATTTCAATATATTGTAAATCTGTGTACTTTGTATATACTTAAAAATAAAATGATTATGGCTAGGGTTGTAGCTCAGTGGTAGGTACAGTGTTTGCTTAGCATCCATATGAGCCTGGGTTCTGAGCCAGGCACCAGTGGCTCATGCCTGTGATTCTAGGGATTGAGGAGGCTGAGATCTGAGGATCATGGCTCAAAGCCAGTTTGGGCAGGAAAGTCCATGAGATTCTTACCTCCAAATAACCACCAGGAAACTGGAAGTGGTGCTGTGGCTCAAAGTGTTAGAGCACTAGTCTTGAGAGTTCAGGTCTTATGGCCAACCAAAAACAAACTAAGAGCCTGGGTTCTAACCCTAGTGCATGTGCACACACATCCCAACGCACATGCATGTCTACGCATACACAGAGAGGAGTTATAAGAGTTACATCATTTAAATGTATTCAGTTGAATTAACTATTCTTGAAATTTGATCCTCAACCATTCATTAAAAATAAATACATGAACCGATTCTTCTCTAAGAGTCAGAAAGTTCTACTCCACATTTTACTACAAAGTTTATTATATGTGTGTCTGTGTAAATGCACACACACACACACACACACACACACACAGAGGCAGTTCTGGGGACTGAACTCAGGGCCTCAGGCTTGTGAGACAAACGCGCCATCATTTTAACCAGATATTTTTCAGATAGGGACTCATATTTTTGCCCAGGCTGGACTTGGACATTAGTCATTTTACCTCCACCTCCCAATTAGCTGGGACCATAGGTATGCCCCACCATGTTTGGCTTGTTTTTGTAATGCTAACTTCTGCCCCCATGCTGGCCTTGAGTTTTGTTTCCTAATCTCCACCTCCTGCATAGTGCCTATTTTATGTTAAGAAGCTTATTGAAGGGTGTTGTGGTTACAACTCAGTGGTACAATGCTTACACACACCCTGGATTCAGGTTCTAGCACCACATAAGTAAATAATTAAAGGCAAAGAAATTAAGTATTCAGAACTCATTACTTCCTAATTGTCTCACTACACTTTATCATCTACTTGAAGATTGTGTGGTACAAACATTGCTGATTGCCTTCCAACTTCATGACCAGTGACATCTCATTAGTAGCTTGAAATCAACGATGGTGGGAATATTTACACCACAGAAATTGGCAAATGGCACAAATTAGCACCCCCACATCTCCCCATCTGTTGTCAAACATTAACCAGCACACGGATAGACTACCTGTACACACTGAAATTTTCACCTAAAAACTTGGCTGGCCTGTAATCCTAGTACTTGAGAGGCTGGGGCGGGAAGGTTGGGAATTCAAGGCCAGCCTTGAGTTGGTGGAAACTGAAGGGGTTTTGTTATAGTAATGTGATGACAGCTAACTAAAGTCATGTAGTGATCTAGCAGCAAAAATTATTTCTAATGATCTGCCTACTCACAATTAGATTAAATCTTTCAGTTTTGTGCAAAGTGAATATTGCAAACCATGGGACTTGCAAAAAAAAATGTCTTATTCTAGGGTGATTCATTCATTTTTTTTTAGTTTCCAAATTTTAGGGAAGTATATTCAGAATAGTTTTGAGTTGCTCATCATTGGGAAAATATGGTCAGTGTTTGAAACTTGCTTTACTTTTAAGGCTCTTTTAAATCTCCTTCTTTGAAAAGATTTACATTCTTGGATAAAACTCAAGGAGTAGAAGAAGGGATGTTAGGGAGCTGGACCTAATAATGTCTAGGACCTGGAATCCCAAAGACTACTGAGGCTGAGGAAGGAGGATTGTGAGGTGGAGGCCAGCCTGGGGAATGTTGGACAACCCTGTCTCCAAGTGGGAGAAGGAGGCAGGCAGCCAGAGGGGCAAGAAAGGAGGTGAAGGAGGCAGAGAAAATTATACAAAACTCAAATTTCAGCATCCACAAATGATGCCTTGACCGGTAAGCCATTCCCTTAGTGTGTGTGTGTGTGTCTGTCTGTCTGTCTGTCTTCAAGGATAGAAATAAGGGCCTAGGTGCTATCCGTGAGCTTTTTTGTTCAGAGTTGGCTGGAGCTCTATCACTTGAGCTACAGCTCCGCCCCCAGCTTTTTGATGGGTAAGTGGAGATAAGTCTCACAGACTTTCCTACCTGGGCTGGCTTCCAACTGTGCTCCTCAGATCTCAGCCTCCAGAGAAGCTAGGAACACAGGCCTGAGCCACCAGCCCAACTTCCCTTAACGTTTGCGTGCCTGCATTTACCCATGGCACTTGGTCTGAATAGTTCAGAGTAGTTCCAAGGCCCAGAAAGCGCGGAATAGTTAGCTGTACGAAAACTTTGCCCATGGCTGTGTAAGTTTGCCCTGACCCATTTAGAAAGTCTTGGGTGGCCTCAGAGGCGAGCGCACCCACTTTGAAACCTGGTCTAAACGGACCGCCCCCGCCCCCCCCTGCAGCCCCCGGGCCACCCTCCCCGTTTCTGGGCCTCAGTTCCCCCAACTGTACGTTAAGTGGGGTTGAGTGGGGTTGGGTGTGGGGGGCTCGTAGTGGATCGGATAAACGAAGTCGAGGGGAGCCTCGGGAGGGTCCCCCTTGGAGCGGGCGGGCGCAGGAGCGCGCGCGTGCGCGCACGCACCGGGCAGGTCCCCCGGGGTTTCCAGCTCCGCGTGCGTGCGTGCGCCCCGCGGCCCAGC